GATGATGTTCCAGAGGGCAGGACCCACGGCAGAAAAGGCACATCGTCTGGGTCCCATCAGATGAAATTCTTTAGCAGAGAGGGCCCACGGCATACCCCTCCCGCTAGACCTGATGGAATGGACAGATGTGGTTGGGAAGAGGCGGTCCCTCGGATAACCTGAGCCCATGCCACGTAGGTCACAAGCAGCACCTTGAATTGCACCCGGAAGCAGACCAGCAGCCACTGCAGCTCACGGGACAGAGGTGCAACGTGCGTCATCCCAGGGGCACACATAACTGTCCACGCAGCTGCATTCTGCACCAGCTAAAGCTTCTGGATATTCTTCAAGGGCAGCCCCACGTACAGCACATTATAGTAGTCCACTCTGGAGGTGACCAGGGCAAGAATGACTGAGCAGAGCCTCCTGGTCCAGACAGGGTGTGATTGGCACACAACACAAATGATTTTCCTCATGGTTTCCCATCCAAGCACTAATACAGAGAAGCTTTGCTTCCCTTTGGCTTCACAGTGCGCTCCAGGTCCAAGAGCAGCGGAGGCCACGGTGGGAGGCACTCCTTGGTCCAGCAAAGAGGTGGGATGGCCAGGCTGCCCCCCACATGCCTGGCCGGCCCCCAGCAGTCCACCGCAGGAAGAGGAGGCGGGGCGGAGGCGGGGCCCTTCTGTGCCTTCTGTGGCTCCAGGGTGTCTCTCCTGCTGCCTCTGCAGAAGGGAACAGGCTCCCCAGGCAAGAGGGTGGTCTCAGAGGGGCTTTGGGGAAGCTCCACTACTCTGTGTCCGGGCAGCAGCTGCTCCTGTGCAGGGTGTCCTCAGCTGAGTTGGCCTGCACCCCGAGGGCCCTTCTGCAGGGTTTTTCCCCCCTTTTCTTTCCCCCAAGGTGGCCATCACAGCCTCTCTTTGGGGAGGGGGGAGGGCGAGCAGAAAGGCCGTGGGTGACGGCAGGCTTCTCGTCCCTGATGAGCTCTTTGGGTTTCATTTATTCTGAACATAATTAATTCCAGGACACCGCAGTGGCTGACATGTTTCAATAATTAATACAATCAAATCACTGTAATTACAACAGTATTTACAGCCCCTTTGAAAGGAAGCCTACGGGGTCGCCATGGAGCTCCCTCTCTCTGTGTGGCATCTGCACGCACGTCTGCCTAGAGCGCACCCAGCCTGCAAACTTGTGCACGGCGCTGGATGCCTGTGGCAGAGAGATGCCCTCTGCTTCCGGGGTTACTTCTGGCTGCTCAGCTTTGTCCTCACCAGGCCCAGGACAGCCAGGAGCAAAGGCCAGCTCTGGGTCACCTGACCCTCCTTGCCCCCCAGGAGCCGCTGCACTTGTACCCACGGGGAGCCCTCATGGCTTGTGGGCTTGGTTCTTGGTGGTAGGACTGAGAAATATTGAGAGCTTTAGGGCGTGGCTGAATTGCCTTCCACATCTGTGGCCATCACCACATCTCTTAGGGACGTGGGGGTGAGGGGAGAAAGAGGCCCAACTATCCCACCCAATGGAGACCCATTAGGCTTTCAGGAGAAAGACCCTCCCCCAGCATGATTTTATATGCCTGTCATCTCCTGCCTTTACTCCCTCTTTCATTCTCAGCTACCCCAAAACATTGCAAGCCCCACGGAAGGGCAGCCTCTCTCGCCCCACAACACCCTCCCCGGCTCTTTTCTGCGCTGCTTCCTGCTCCCCCCACCGATGAGGACACCGCCAGCAGATCCCCGGTCTAAGGCTGAGGAAGCACGTGCTGGGCACCTCCAAGGAAAGGGACACGATCTGCTCTGCGGAGGGGTGGGGGGGTGCCCAACTCCTGTGGAATTGAACGTTGTGCGCACAGAAGCCGCTCTGGGGAAGGGCTCAGCAGGAAGGCCCTCGGCGCCTGGCCAATCGCGGCCTCAAGAACGGAGAAGAGGGAAAGAGCCGGCCGGAGAGCCCCCCACACAGGGCCCCCCACACAGGGCCGGCTTCTGCCCCAGCTTCCCCAGGAGGAGCAACCCGAAGAGCCCTCCCATTGTGCCTTCGATCAGCACCGCGGACAGCAGCCAAGGAGGGCTTCCTCGCAGGGAGAGCCCTTGCCTTTGAAAGGCCAGAGGTGGTGCAGCCAGCAGAATCCCCTCCTCTCCCCCCCATTTTAATTCCTTCCTCACGCTCCTCTTCCAAACCCAGCGCTCCAAGTTAATTTGAAAATTAATCCTTTCCGCAGCAGGGGCCGCAGATCCTTCCCACCCTCTCACACCAAGTGCACAGGAGCCAATTCTTCAATGCCTTGTTTACCCAACACCCACCTTGGTGGTCTCGGCGGTCAGAACTCTCCCTCTGGCCAGCCGAGGCCCACCCTACTCCTCACCAGCGGATTGGCACTGGAACTCCTGGCAGCCGGCAGAGCGGTTGAGGAAGCCTCTCCTGGGACACTGCCCAGGATTTACCGGAGGCCCAAAGGAATGCCCCTCGCCCGCCCCCGGACTGTTCGGACCCAAGAAAACTTCCATGGGTGTTTTCCTTGCCCTTTGCCCCACGGCAGGCAGAGGCTGCTCTCTGTACCCACTTGACCATGATGTATAAACGCTAGCCACTGAAAAGTCTGTACGGCCAGGGCTCCTCGGGGCTCCAGTGGCGGGG